ACCTCCAAGATGGCCCCCGAGGCTTCCACAAGTGGCCCAAGAGGTGCCCAGGAGGCCCAAAGAGGCCTCCAAGAGGTTCTGAAAAAAGGCCCCCAAGAAACCCCCAAGAGGCCCCAAGAGGCTCCCCTGCGGCACCCAAGACGAACCAAGATGCCCCGGGGGCCGCCAAGAGCACCCCAAGACGCCCCGAGAGCACTCCAAGAAACCCTCGAGACACATCCGAAAAGACTCCGAGAGGCATCCGAGAAGCCTCTGGCCGTTCTTCTCGCCCTCCTCCTCCTCCCTTTCTCCTCCTCCTCCTCCTCCTCTTCCTCGTCCTCCTCTTCTTCATCCGCCTATTCCTTCTCCTTCTCCCTCCCCCTCCACCTCCTTCCCCTCCTCCTCCGAGAGCTCCTCCATCTCCCCTCTCTTGGAGTATGACGGCTTCTCCAGCCCTTCATTCCACTACATGCTTCTCCACATGCCAGATCAAAGCAACTCCGCACTTCATGTTCCGTGGTCCCACAGGAGCCCTCAGCGGACCCCTCAAACGATTCAAAGGAGCTTCGACTTGCTACACCCCTCACGCTGTTTGCGGCTCATGGATCCCTAAGGGCCCTCTGTTAGTGCCTAAGATCGCCTGCCCCACCGAAGGACGCGTGCGGAACCTCGTCGAAGTCATATCCACAACACCCACTGATTGCAAAATCTGCGCGCGAAATTCCCTGACAAGCCCCAACCGCGTCGGGCTCTGCCCGGCCCACTGCCGGCCTATTTTACTACAATTTCTGGCGCACGTGAAAATACGAGTGATCTTCGTCGGAGGCTTTAGCGCCACCTATGTGTAGGACGATTTTAACTGCTATGTCATATCATATCTTCAAATGATAACTTGTTTCATCTCCCTCATCTCTTTTAACTTGCTATTGATTACGTAGACGATATGGTTACGAACAAACAATGTGATATGTGTGTATGAATATGTATATATATATATCTATCGGAGATTGGGGGGGGAGTCCGACGTGAAACGGAGACGCCCCATACCGGGAAATCGATTTCGGTTTCGGGTTCGTGTCGTGCGTGCCGTGCGTGCGAGGGGAAATCCTCCTGTGGCTGGGCCGCGACCACCCAGAGTTTTCTCCTCCGGCGGCTGGTGGCCCGCGGTGTCCCGCCAATGTCCCGCTGGTGTCCCGAAATCCTCCTGTGGCTGGGCCGCGGCCGGACCAAATGTTTCTCCTCTGGCGGCCAATGCCCCGCAGTGTCCCGCTGGTTTCCCGCTGGCGTCCCAAAATCCTCCTGTGGCTGGGCCGCGGCCGGACCAAATGTTTCTCCTCCGGCGGCCGGTGGCCCGCGGTGTCCCGCTGGTGTCCCGGAATCCTCCTGTGGCTGGGCCGCATTACGCACGTTCGACCTCGTCGACTAGCGCTGAGGTAAAGTTCGTGCGCTTGATAAGCGCACGCGGGGACAGCGCTTCACGACAATGTCGAGTGCGCTTCGCCAACATCGCCACATCACATCACGCTCACGTGCACAATCACACTACTCACTAGACTCCGCCCCACAAGCATCGTCAGAACAACAATCACCACTTTTGCCCATTCCTGCCCCCCCAACCTCCTTATCACCCGCAGGGTGGTCGTATAGAAATATCGGAGGTTGGGGGGGGAGTCCGACGTGAAACGGAGACCCCCCCTACCAGAAAATCGATTTCGGTTTCGGGTTCGTGTCGTGCGTGCCGTGCGTGCGTGCGTGCGAGGCCAAGCTGCGTGGGCGGGCGAGAAGAAATCCTCTTGTGGCTGGGCCGCGGCCGGACCAAATGTTTCTCCTCCGGCGGCCGGTGGCCCGCGGTGTCCCGCCGGTGTCCCGCTGATGTCCCGAAATCCTCCTGTGGCTGGGCCGCGGCCAGCGGCACCATAGGGAGCTCCACCGAAGGCGCCAATGGCACCGCCCGCATGTGTCACCCCCACCCAGTACAGCGTTTCGTGGCCCCATAGGGAGCTCCACCGAAGGCACCAGTGGATGCAGTCGTATGCGTCTCCCCCACCTAGCACAGCGTTCCACTGAAGGCTCCAGTGGTGGTATTCGCATGCGCTTCCCTCACCCAGTACGGCGTCTCGTGGCCCCATAGGGAGCTCCACCGAAGGCCCAAGTGGCGGTGATTGCATGCGTCCTCCCCGCCCCCAACACAGCGCTTCGTGGCCTCATGGGGAGCTCCACCGAAGGCACCCATGGCTGTACTCGCATGTGTTTTTCCGCCACCCATTACACCGTTTCGTTGTCCCATAGGGAACTCCACCGAAGGCCACAGTGGCGGCCCTAGTGGCGGCCCCGCCCCATTGCGGCGCACCCCTAGCACTTTTCGTGGCCACTTAACGCGTTCCGCCTAAAACACCCACATGGCGGCCCCGCCCCAGATCGGCACATTCTTCGCATGCCTCATGGCCCCATGAGGAGATCCCCCGAAAGCAATACCCGCAACGACGGTACCCACAACTGCCTATGGTTGGGGTCTTCGCCGGGATAATCTTTGTTTTTGCATTGTGTCTGTGCATGCATGGGCGGGGCTTCATATCGAGCTGAATTGTGCCAGCATGTGCTAATACTGTTCACGCAAGCCACATGGACCCCACGATGACCCTCAATGTGGCTTGCGATATCCAAGGTGGCGTCACATGGCCCCAACTATGCCTTCACGACGCTCTAATCATTCGCCAAGACGGCGTCACGTGGCCGCAAAACCCCACCAACCAGTTCGTTCGCGAAGCCAACATCCACTTCAACACGATCGGGGGACACATGTTTTGTTTTGCCTTCTCGCCTCTTCGTTTCCGAAGGCTGAACTATGGATCCAGATTTCGAGGAAGGTCCCAAAACGCCGCCCCGAACGCCACAACATGCCATTCATAGGGCTCCAGGGGTGCCGCAGCGAATCCCACCAGCGCTTTAGGGCGTGCGTGGTTCAGCGGATTTTCTCTTCCAGCCCCGTCTATCCTTCTTCCTCCCCCCCTGGGTTTAGGGTGGTTGGGGGGGGGTAGGTGGGTGAATGGGCTGTCTTTTCGCGTTCTGGGGGCTCCCTGGGGGCGTCTTGGGCCGTCCTGGGGCGTTTTGGGGCCTCCCTGGGAGGCCCGGGGGCGCGGTGCGGGGAGTTACCCCTAGATGTCACGGAGGTGAGGGACGCTCCCATCTTTTGTTTTTTGTTTTCATAGTTATTATCATTATTGCTATTCTTAGTATTATTATTATCGTTATTATTCGAAGAACCATATTTTAATTTTACTAATATCTTTTATATTTGTGTTTGTTTGTGAACACATATTCCATATGTATATTTATAAGTATCTAGATTGATATCTACATATGTATGTTTGCATCTATATACGGCGTATGCGTGGCCTGATAAGCGCAAGCCGAAACACACGGATATTTACATCAACCTGGCACGCGAACATACATGTAATCGCATGTGGGCGAACTCAGCGTTCCGAATGGTGCCTACTTCTGGATCGTTCATGCCAGAAGGTTCTCGACTGAATGCCATGGGCCATGCTCCTCACAGCAGGCAGTCTCCGCACACTCCACAAACAACATGGCTGCTATCTCAACAAGCACAAAGCTAAAACTGTGAGCTCAAGCGTGGTCTGCGCCGGGAGGCCAAGTGCTGCACGTTTTTTTTTTTTTGTTTTGTTTTGTGTTTTTGTTTTTTTTGATTTCTCCTCAAATTCGACCAGCGGGGTTACGTAACAACGGCAATCCCCACCACACATGAAACGTGTCGTGTCTTCGAACATTCACTGCAATACACCCGTGCCCAGAACTGTGCATCCGCGAAAGGTGCTGTTGGCACGACATCAATGTCCCGCATAAACCAACTAATATGAGCAACTTGGCATCCGGAAAGCACAGGGTAATGCGCGTAAACTCCGTACGGATAGTTACCGAAAATAGTAACCAACAAATGCCTCATCCACGCGCACACGATTCATATGGTACGGATGTGCCGGATAACGGACGATTCGCTGACTCGTCGGATCAGTAACTCTGCAAAAAGGCATATGATCAAAGCTTGAGTCAATGGCAATGGCGCGAACGAGATGGGCCATCTCACCCGTACAACGCATGCAATCGGATGGTACTAATGATGTTGCTTGAGCCCGTCGGTATGCATCGCGGGATGGTGCGTGAGCAGGACCTCTGATCCAATGCGATCTTCGAACCCGCTTCGATAAGAGACACCGTGTATTCTTGATAATACCCTCTGTGCAATATTCCTCCTCACTCTCCTCTTACCCCATCGCCTGGTCCGCTACTTCATCCTCTCCCTGTCCTCCCGCTCCCTCTTCTCCTTCTCCTCCTCCTCCTCCTTGTTCTCCCTCTGCACTCATCCCCTCCGTCCGACCAACCCCTTCCCACTCCCTTTTCCGTCCCCATCCTGCCCGTCTCTGTGCTAGCCTTCGTCCTCCTACCTATCCCCCTCGTCGCCCTTGTCTTCCCCCTCTTCCTCATCCCTCTCCTTTTGCTCCTTCGATGCGCCTTCCTTCTCTTCAACCTTTTCCCACCTCCCTTTTCAACTTTCCCCTCCCTCACCTCTCATATCTCCTTTTCCTCTTCCTCGTCCTCTTCCTCCTGATGAGTCGTCGCCCCCCCCACATTGCACCCCCACCCTCCCCTCGCCTCCACACACCTCATCCTGCTCCTCGTCGTCTCCCTCTTTCTGGTATCTGTCTTCCTCCTAGCCTCTGCCCCCGACCTCGCATTCGTCTTCGTCCCTGTCGTTCTCCACCCCAGGTCTCGCAGGCCTAGAGATTGACACCAACACCAATTTCGGCGGTGTGCCTCCACCGAGGGAAGAATGTCCTGATCTCGGTGATGGTGGTAATATTCTGGCTTCCAAGGTGGCCGAACTATTACCACCAACACCGAAAATCTAGGATCATCTTCCCCCTGTGGAGGCAACCCTCTGTCTTGGTGTTGGTGCCTATCTCCAGGCCTCCGAAGGTCTCCCTCACGGCCGGGGTGACCTTCCGCCCGACGCCGGCGTCTGTGCCCTCCTGGGGGGGCAGCGCCAGGGGCGGCAGCAGCGACTTGGGGATGTGGTCCCTGTGGCGCGGGGGCTGACGGCGGAGCGCGCCCCTTCCCAGGAAGAAAAAATCCCAGACCCCCTCGTGTCGTGCAAAAAAACACGGCGGGAGTTTTTTCCCTATTTTCGGGCTCCGGGGGCCCTTCCCGGACCTCGGGACCTTCAGACCACGACCCAGGAGGAGAAGCCAGTCCCCAGGAAGGGGTCCAGACTTCTGAGGGTCACGTCATGAACAAATCACGACGACGGTGGTCTGGGATAGGACGATGAGAAAACATGAGCACGCGAGGAGCAAGAAGGAGCAAACTGACACCCGCGTGGACCTCCAATTATGCAAAACTCGAAGTCGTTAATTCCACTACTTGTGCAAACATCCCACCCTCCCATACGCAACTTGCTGACAAAATTTATGATGATGGTGATGATGGCGGTGGGGATGATGAGGGGGGCGACGACATCGACCGTGACGATGATGTGATTATGACGACGACGATGAAGACGATGGTGATCCAATGATGACGCGGCCGATGATGATAACCATGGTGCTGCTCAGGAAATGCACGCGCTGAGAAAGTCAGCATTCGTGGCATACCCCTGTGGGGAAGCCACGGGCGTTCCGTATGTGTTTGAACCCCCCCTGCTGCGAACCCTGGGCGTTGGACAGATTTTTGGACATATTTTTGGGCAGGAGGAGGAGGAGGAGGGGGAGGACGAGGAGGGGGAGGAGGAGGAGGAGGAGTAGGAGAAGGACAGTCGGGGCTTTAGATGGTCATCTTCGTCGTGCGCACGCGCTGACAAGCGCGCGGGTGGCCCACCACGGTACTATTTGACAGAGTTGGCGGGGGCATGCATGGTTGTTGGTTTTCTTCGACGTGGGCGCGCGCTCTGTCCGCATGGTCGTAAATGGTTGGTTGTTTTGTTCGACGTGGGCGCGCGCTCTGTCCGCATTGTCGTAAATGGTTGTTGTTTTTTTTCCGACGTGGGCACGGGCTCTGTCCGCATGGTCGTAAATTGTTGTTGGTTTTGTTCGACGTGGGCGCGCTCTGGCAGAACGGCATACACCGATGGCTTCCTTATGATCTCAGCGAGGGCGCACGCACATATTCTGGCAACCTCTTGTTGATGACACCGCTTGGATAACTATGGCTTCACACTGCCAGGGGACTATAGTGGTATTTGAACGAGTTTGGCATGCGCGCGTGGGGGCGCGCGCATGATGTCCGCATGTCTTTGCCTCACGAGAACTGCTACAAGACGCGATTCTTAGATCAACTCATGCGCGCCGCCTTGTATTTTTGGTAAGAAGTGACGGCGCGCGGGGCGATACTGGGTTGGTTAGGATGAAGCTACTATTTGGTAATTAGGGTGAGACATCGTGCGTAATAACTGTGAAAGCATCTAACCTGTGGAGGGGGACCGATCATCCCGGCCTCAGTTTGGGGGTAGAGTGTAATTCTTCGTAGGAGTAGATCTACGGTGTGCAATCCATGTCTATGGAGTGGCACCGTGTGACCAAATGGGGTGGGACCCTGTGGGGGGGGACCCTATAGGGTGGGACCCCACGGAATCGGACCCAATGGAAACGGGGCGCGTTTACTTCCCAAACCGGGCATTCTGCTTGCGAGATGACCTGCCACCCCCGGAAGTGCCGGGCACGAACCTCATATCGCGCACACGCGAGCCCCGGAAAGGCCGGCCACACGAGCCGCAGAAGCCCGAGCCACCACCCACGGAAACAAGAAAAAGGCCATCCCAAGAAACCAAGAACGCGAAACTTCGAAGGCAAGCCTCCTCTTCCTCCTCCTCCTGCTCATCGCCTTCATCATAAACATTATGTTCGGTATATGTCATCATCACTATCACTATCACTATCACCATCACCATCACCGTCAACATAATCATCATCATGATCACTATTAAGATCATTGTCACGATCATGGCCATGATCATCATCATCATCATCATCATCATCATCATCATCATCGCCATCGTCATCATCATCATCCTCGACATCGTCATCATCATCAGCACCATCACCATCATCAGCATCACCATCGTCATACTCAACATCGTCATCAGCCTCATCGTTTTCATTGCAATCATCTTCACCAGCATAACCATCATCATCGCCATCATCATCATCACTGTCATCATCATCATCATCATCATCATCACCACCACCATCATCATCATCATCATAATCATCATCATCATTCTCATCGTCGTCGTCGTCGACGTCATCATTACCATAGTAATCATTATCATCAGCAGCAGCATCAGCATCAGCATCATCACCATCATCATCACCAATATCATCGGAATCATCGACATCGCCATCATCATTATCCTCACCATCATCATCATCGTCGTCATCATCATCATCATCATCATCATCCTCGTCGTCATCATCATCATCATCAGCACAATCATTATCGCACTGTCATCGTCATCGTCATCGTAATTATTCTTATCCCCCATCCTCTTTTGCCACGTGGCATCGCACGGGGCGGATTAATTATCCCCGCGAATGACCCAACCATGTGCAAGTGTGAGTACTGCTGGGCAGGCGGGGCGCAGGAGGGGAAGCTCCCCATAAGGCCACGAAACGAGTGAGGAATCTGCATTGTGGGGGGGGCCTTCGAACTGTGCCATCGGGACCTTCGGTGGAACTCCCTCTGGGGCTGCGAACCGTGTCAGGGGTGTGCCAGACTGGTCTGTGCCACTGAGGCATAGGCATTGGGTGGAGCTGGACGGATGAATCTGATGAGGATGACGATGATGACGATGATGATGGTGATGTCGGCGATGAAGGTGACGATGATGTTGACGATGAAGTCGGGGATGATAATGATGATGCTGATGATGATGATGATGCTGATGCGGATGATGGTGCTGCTGCTGATGATGATGATGATGATGATGATGATGCTGATGCTGATGCTGATGCTGATGATGATGATGATGATGTAGGTGATGATGGCGACGCTAATGGCTATGCCGACACAGATCTATATAATGAAGCTGATGATGCTGCTGACGATGTTGAGAGTGACGCTGCTGATTCTGATGATGATGATGACGACGTCGATGATGATGAAGACGATGTTGCTGATGTTGATGCTGATGCTGATGCTGATGCTGATGATTATGATGATGATGATGATGATGATGATGATGATGATGATGATGATGATGATGATGATGATGATGATGCGGCTGGTAATGATGATGACGATGATGATGGTGGTGATGCTGGTAATGATGATGCTGACCGCAACGACGACGGTGATGATAACGAGTGAGGACGGCGGGCAAATCTGGAGGCTGACCGGCATCCAAGCGCAACGCCCAGGCACCGACCGCACGCCGGGCCAGGAGGAGGGGGGCGACCGAAGTCCAAACGCAACGTCCGGGGACCTACTCCAGATTTCGTAATAAAAGGGAGGGGGATCCTCCGAGACAAGCCATTTCAGACCTCCCCCGTGGGAGAACCCTCCAAAACATCGTCCCCAGACCCCCCAGGCCCTCCAAGATAGCCTGGAAGAGACCCCCCCCGAAATGAGACCCCCCTCTCTTTATTACGAAATCTGGAGTACCACGTACAGGGCAAGAAGGAGGAGCAGGAGGAGCGCGACATGCTGATTCGGGGGCTCACCAAGATCCAAACGCAACGCCTGGGAGCCGACCACCAGCCAACGTCCTGGCCAGGGGTGCCGTTGCGGAGCTCTGGAAGATGCTCACCGGCACGGACACCACGATCGAGTCGAACAAGACGGTCGGGGCCGTCGCCGACGCGTGGAAGGAAACGGCGGAGAAGCTCGCGGTGTCCCAGCAGGACAAGGACGCCCGAGATTGCCTTCCTGCCGAAGCCTGGCAAGGACACGGGCGACGCGAAGAACGGGTGGCGGACCATCTGCATCTTGAGTCATGCTGGCAAGGCGTGGGCGAAGGCGACCATCGCGGACATGGTCGCCAAGGTCGAGGAGGTGGTTGGCCCGTGTCAGTTCGGGGCCCTGCCCAAGAGAGGCACAAGAGATGCGGTGGCCCTGGTCCAGGAGGTGCTGAGAAGGTTCAAGGACGCGCCCCAGCGCGGCCGCCAGGGACAAAGGAGGCTCCTGGCAGCATTCCTCTTTGACTTGGAGAAGGCCTTCGACAAGATTCCACGGGATAGGCTGTGGAAAGCCATAGACGAGATCCTGGGCATGGAAGGACTGGCCCGTGTTCTCGAGGCGGGGCACGACGGGACGTGCTACATCATAAAGAACAAGGCCGGGGAGTTCGTCAGCAAGGTCGTTGTTTCCAAGGGCGTGCGGCAGGGTAGCGTGGAGGGTCCGGTCTGTTTCGTGCTCCTGTACGCCCTCAGTATCCAGGAGGTGCAGAGGGAGAGGGCTCCTGCGAAGAGGGTCATCGTGATCGCAAGGAAGTTCCTGGACAGCGACGCGGAGTCCGACGAAGTCTGCGAGCGGATCGACGTCTCCGACGTGTGCTTCGTGGACGATCTCATTAGCTCCTTGGTCTTCTTCAGGGTGGCGCAGCTGAAGAACTTCGCCGAGATGGTCGCGAGAGTCCTCGAGGAGGGGGGCCCTGAAGGTCCACGTGGGGAAGCTCGAGCTCATGGTCGTGGCGCACGGCGAGGGGGCCAGGAAGTACAACCAGAGCGTGTCGAAGGGCCAGGTCGCCATCTCCTTCCGGGGCACGAAGGTCGTGGCAACGAACGCGGCGAAGTGCCTCGGCTGCACGGTCAACGCAACCGGCACAGCATCCAACGAGGCCACGGCAAGGACTGCACAGGCTCCGAAAGCTCAGGCGAGGTTGACGGGGGGCGCCCGGAGGCCGAGCTCGACAGCGTTGGAGGTCAAAGTGCGGTTCTGGCTCGCACTGGTGCGCAGCATACTTGAAGGGGCCCCAGGACATACAAATAAATACACACAAATAAAGATACACCCCATACTTTTTCATATTTTCTGGGTTTTTGTCTTCCCCCCCACTTCCCATATTTTCCCACATTTTCTCAGAAATC